GAAAGGAGCCTTAGACTCAGTTGACTGGAAAGCTCTGATGGGCTCCCTTCTTCGAAAAGGAATGTCCCAGAAGTACGTTAACCTACCGAGGTCACATTACTCACATACCTCTGGTCATATAAGGGTGTACAACGAACTAAGTGGGCCGTTCGTCACCAGCAGTGGCGTTCGTCAAGGGTGTCCTCTTTCACCGTTCGTGTTCAATTTCGTTGTAGACAAAATACTGGAGAGGGTACTAAGTGGACTCCAAAACGTAGGTATTGAATGGACAGCTGGAGAAAAGCTGTGCGATTTAGAGTACAGCGATGACATCGTCTGTTCGAATGTAGGGAGGACACGCAAAGCGCACTCGATAGACTAACAAGTGCAGTTGCCACATTTGGTATGTGCTTTGCATCTTCAAAGTGCAAAGTGATGCTGCAGGACTGGGTTTCGTCTACTCCCGCTCTGAAACCAAATGGCCAGGATTTATTTATGATGGATTATTTTTCCTACTTAGGTAGTTGCGTGACCAGTGACGGTAACGCAGCAAAAGAGATAACTGTCCGCATTTCCAAGGCTCGAGCAGCATACGCAGGATTGAAACGCCTTTAAAGTAGACGTGACTATTCACCGAAGCTGAAAGGTCGTGTATATTGTGTTGGCGTTCGTTCAATTCTGCTTTATGGTTGTGAGACCTTGAATTTGCGAGTAGAAGATATCCGTCGACTAGAAGTTTTCGATTATCGGTGTTTACGCAGTTTAGCCGACGTTGAATGGAGCAAACGCGTTAGTAACGTGGAGGTAAGCCGTCGTGTGTTTGGGAGTCCATCAGGTTTAAACCTGCTAGCACTCCGAATTCAGATTAGTAGACTTCGCTGGCTAGGGCACGTATTGCGTATACCCAGCCATCGTCTGCCGCACTGCGCTTTATTCGCTGTAGCTAATCCGGGCTGGAGGAAACCGCGTTGAGGTCAACAGATGACGTGGAGCCGAGGTATGAAGAAATGCACAGAGCCATTAGATAGAGTAGGTGTCTCTTGCCTTCTAGGTTGGGGTCCGAAAGACTCCACAACTGGTTGGTTGGAGACAATGAAGGATATGACAGCGACCCGGCAGCAGTGGCGTTCTTGTCGTTTCTTATGAGGTCAGAACACTTGAAACGGTATGTATGCAGAGTTCGATTGCGTGCTCTTTGTGTTGACCATAGTGGTTCACCTTCTTCCCCTCCCTCAAAATAGATCTAATCCCTGACCACCTTAAATTTTACCATTAACCTTGTATGCATTGCGAGTTTGGCAGCGATCAGTGAAGTTAGCTTCACTGTATTTCGCTGTACGATGATGATGAAGCAATCTGCGACAAAAGCGGGCCAGCCATTCATAATAGGGAACAATGGCTTGCCCAATGGGTGGAGTACTTCAACGAACAGTTCAGTTGGCCAGGCGATAACCAGACTATATCATCTGTTGTAGGTGAGGCTCAGTGGGTAGTGTCCTATAAACCTCCTACTAAAACAGAAATACCATCTTGCATCCAAGCCGTGAAGAAAGGAAAAACAACAGGTTCTGATGGGCTTCCACCGTGCAATAAGGTTGATCCCAATCGTCACCAAGATGTTAGGTTCCGTCATACTTGGATGTCTGACACGCTTAGGAGACACAAATATCCACGAGCAACAAGCAGGATTTCGATTAGGTCGCGGTTGTATCTATCAGATCCTCACGCTGCATGAAGTCCTCGAACTGCGCCATACACCATGGACAAACGGCTGTCGTGTTCCTTAACCTGAAAGGAGCCCTCGACTCAGTTGACCGCGAACCCCTTTTGGGTTCCCTGCTTCCCAAAGGTCGCTCTACTCGCGTAATTCTGGTAGCTTAACGGTCTACAGAGATCTGATTAGGTAGTTCGTAATTAGCAGCGGTGTTCGTCAAGATGCCCAATTTCGCCATTCCTGTTCAATTTTGTCGTGGACGAAATATTACAGAACGCACTAAATGGTCTCCAAAATGTAGGTACTGAATAGGCAGCTGGAGAAAAAGCTATGCGATGTAGAGTACGATGATGAATTTGTTTGCCTGTTCAAATGTATTGAGGATGAACAAGATGCACTTGAGAGGCTAACAAGTTTTATTGGTCCGTTCGGTATGCATTTCGAACCTTAACAGTGCCTTCAAAGTGTCCTGAAACTAGATGGTTTGGAACTAGTTGAAGCAGCGTACGCAGGACTTAAACACCAGTGGCCATAACTTGACGTTTCACTGAAGTTGAAAATTCACGTATACTACGCCACTGTACGATTAGTTCTGCTTTACGGTTGTGAGACCTGGAATTTGCAGGTAGAAGAAATCCGTCGCCTAGTGCTCTTCGACAATCGATGCTTACGTAGTTTGACCGAGGTGGGATGGAGTGAACGAGTTAGTAACCTAAAAGTAAGACGTCGAGTGTTTGAGAATGCATCGAACACAAACTCACTATCGCATCGAATTCAGTTCAGTAGGCTCCGTTGCTTAGGATGGAGAAAGCCCCGTGGAGACGAGGCATAAAGAAATACACAGGGCGATTACGCAGAGTAGGTGTCTCTCGTCTTCCGGTTTGGGATCCACAAGGCTTCGTAACTGGATGGTTGAAGACAAGAAGGTCATGGCAGCAAACCGGCAGGTGTGGCGATCTTGCTGTCGCTTATTATCAGACGAGAATGCTTGAAGTACTGTGTATGTGCAATCTGACTGTGCTCTGCTTTTTTGTAATTACACACTTGTGTGCTGAACAACTAAAGGGGTAAACCCCATAGTCACGAGGACCTGCTGTTCAGTGATGTAAACCGGTACCCTAAACCCCGGGACTTGGAGTGGTAAACCACATAAGGCCCCGATAGGTTAGGCGTGGTATTGAACCGGACGACAGCAACGCTGCCTACCACCAAAGTCGGGTGGCGGTGGCGGGGCTTGAGCCTCGGACCATAGGGTCCAAAGCACGTCTGTGACAGCGACTAAAAAACTGTGCTGACCATAGAAGTTTGCTTTCTTTTCCCGGCCCTGAAGTAGGCCCAATCCCTGTCCTCCTTAAACATTCTCATTTACCTTCTATGCAATATGAGTTTGGCAGCGATCAGTGAAGTTCTCTTTACTGTATTACGCTGTACGATAATGAAGATAACGAAACAACACAACCATCTGTCAGTGACGGCGGTCACTCAGTTCTCACTCCTATTCTAGATCTAAGTTCTGAACTCAATGCAGATTCAATCGAAGTATTACTCTGTTCTTTTCAACTTTCAGTTTTAGTCATGTGGTATGAAATTTTGCCAGCTGCTGGAATTATGTTGGCGTGTATCGCTGTGTACGAACCTATGACCAAGGGACTAGCGCGAGTGCTTTTCGGCAGAGTAAGTGATGCTCTATTTTTCCGCAGATACATTTTTCACGCAGTGGAGTGGGACCAATTTCTTTGCCTATCGTGACGATTTCGCTTTACATTTACGCGACCGCGATCTCGTCGGTCGGCATCATATCCTTCAAGTAAGGCACATTCCTTTTTAAGCCATGACCATTAATTCTTGTGTTCTAGGGTGTTGAGGCAATTGATGATGAATAAAGGTTATCCTTAGAGCAGTTTCTTTCGTCCCCCGCGATCCAGAACGTCGACTTCTCTTAGCTGAATATAATTACCGCCATATCTTCTTTCGTTAATCTTGTTCCTCGAAATTTTGGATGGAAGTCAGCGGTTCGCCTTTTCGTACATGGCTTCACTGTAATAAGAAACTTAAAGCGAACTATACAGAGTTAAATATACCTTCTTCATTTAGCATTAGATTTCCGTTCTTTCAGAATTCTACTGCTTTTATGTGATCCCAGCCGAATATATGTCAAAGTGGTTAGCATGTTTTAGGTGAGTGGTCATGAGTATGTCGTAATAAATCTACTCATTTTACCGTTTGGTCTGAAAAAGGTTCAATAATTTCCATCATTCTTTGACTTTGAATAAAGCACTACGATAATTTGTGTTACAATAGTTAGAAACTGATTCGAAATTCCCCTAATGTTTGTGGTTTGCTAATAGAAAACTGTCCTAGTAAATTGTATTTATGTCTGGTTCATGCAATAGAAAAGATTCCCAAAATGCAGTTATCCCGAATAGTTAAAAGTAAAGTTGGGGCGCATGAATATACGATTTTGACTCCACTGGTAGAAACCGCAAGCAGAAGAAAACACCAGAAGTTAAACATTCGTTCCTTCCGTTTGCTTTAGGATAATCCCGCACTTTTTTCCTCCTGTTCGCGTTACTTAATTCTTTTGAACTTGATCTCATGGAAGGTTTGATTCCGAAACATATAGTCTAAAAGGTAGTAAAATTTTCTTGTATTTCATCGATTCGTTGGTGACACGGTGTCGCTGGCTGAAAGGGAAATTAAGTGGATTTGGTAGAAAAGTTCAACGCCACTCACGCCTGTATAATTTGCTGTCGAATTAGAAGCAGAGGATGATATTCTTTCCCCGACTGTGTTACTACTGAGAAACAATTTTGGCTTTATTGAACGGTGTGCTTACAAAAACAAGTATGAATCATCAAACACACAAAATTCCACTGTTTTGTAAGATAACTAGTTTGGAGAACAAATGAAATTCTCATCAAAGAGATTGAAATGATTTCACGCGTTCTTTTTGTCTGAGGGTTTGTCATCACGAAGAGACTGCACCCTGACGTGCTGTGGCCCGACGAGCAAGATAGCTTTTAAGTCGAAGACTTACTCATACCTGGAAGATAGAAAGGTAGAGGCCAGACAAAGTCCAGTGGTCTGGCTCTTTAGGTTTTGGATTCTACTCAATTGGGTATCTCAGTCGGTAAAATGGTGGGGAGTAAGCGATCCGTGTAAATGGGCCTCCGTTTCTTTTCTCTTTGGTCAAGTTGTTGTTAAAACAAAAGGCTTTGGATGAGAACCCCAATCATTATGCTTGGCGGTCGGACACCAAAGCAGTGGGGTGGTAGTGGCACACTGGTTTAGTCGCTGTCACCGGTGTGCTTTGGACCCTATGGTCCGAGCCCCGCAGCCGTCACCCAACTTTGTTGGTAGGTATCGTTGCTGTTGCCCGTTTTTATACCACGCCTGAGCTAGCGGGGCCTTATGTGGTTCGCCACTCCAAGTCCCAGGGCTTAGATTGCCGGTTGCTATCACTGAACAGCAGGTCCTCGTGACTATGGGGTCCACCCCGACTAATGTTCATCACACACTGGTATGTAATAAAAAAGTACGAATCCGTGAAGCTCCAATGAACAACAATCACCAAATCTTTCTCCGCCAGTTGGAGCTCTTCTTCGTTTTCGATGACCATTCTTACTAGCCACATTTAATTTGCGCACCCTGATGCGCATAGGACAACAGGCGTGTTTAGCTCGTACCCTCCAGACCCTGGCCATCGATGTGTGTTGTATCCAAGAGACTCGCATTTAAGACTTTAGCGCCGCCATCCGATTGACGTCCCCGTCAAACCCATCCGCGAAGTTTCACCTGCGGCTTCTGGTCTTGCTGGCGTTTGCGTGACTCTCAGTGAGAAAGCTGAAGCCGCGCTCCTGGATTGGATCCCAGTCGACAGTGGGTTATGCGCAGTGAGACTTAGAGGCTCATGCAAAGTAAATAGTCGTCTCCCCGAAAGACGCAACTTGTTTGTCGTCTCAGCGTACGCACCCACGGACTGTAGCTCAGATACAGTCAAAAATACATTCTACCAAGAGCTACACGACCTTTTGCGTAAGGCAAATCGGGCTGATATCGTGATTTTAGCAGGAGATATGAATGATAGAATAGGCCGATTGACATCGATTAAGGCGCACCTGGCAGGCCCTTTCGAACTAGATTTCTGTCGCTCGTAAAACGAGGAACGGCTGATGGCTCCATGTTCTGGCCACCGCCGATTCCTCGCCAGTACGAACTTCATACGCCGATACGCCACTTGGTGTCCACCCTCCTCGAGACCGCCAAACGTAGATAGACCACATCGCTATAAACCACAAATGGCAGGTTTGCATACAAGACTGCCGATCGTACCGGAGTACTATCCTCGAATCCGATCACGCGTTAGTTTGCACCAGGCTGTCCATGTGTTTTGGTGGGCGTCCTAAACGTACGACACAGCGGCGGTTAGACTGCAATAAGTTGTTTCCACAAGCATGCTTAGCCGTCTTTTAAAATGCGATAGCTGAAAAGCTAGTACTAACCCTACCTAATAACATCAGTGAGTACTGGTCGCTTATCAAGAATGCTGTGCACGCAGAGATCGCGAAATCTGGTGGTCTCAAAGTGCATCAGAAATGGAACGTGCTACCGCCATGGGAAATTCCCGTAGGCTGTTTCATCTCACCCGAGTCACCGTTAGGAAAACTTGAGGTGTGAGCAAAACGATCTATGAAGTTGACGGTTCGCTTATTCACAATCAACAGCGACGTCTTGAACGCTGGACGGAGCACTTCAAATCACAATTTAGCTGGCCACCAGCGTCAGCTTTTCAAACAGCTATTCCGGCACAAATCCCATCGTGTGCATCAACAGACCAACCACCTGAGGCCGAAATTCTTAAGGAAATCGAAGCGTTGGGACGTCACAAAGCGCCCGGCTCCGACAGCCTTCCCCCAGCTCTATTTCAAGATCCACCCATCCCCTATTATTGTTATTGTTGTGGCGTTGGTACTATGCTTGTTCACAAACCGGTGTAATATATATATATATATATATATTTCAAGATGGTGGATTAAAGCTTGTTAGAGAACTCCAAGTCCTGTCCTCTAAAGTTTGAAACACTGAGCAGGTCCCCTTTTCGTGGGGTAGTCGATTGTCGTCCCTATCTTTACAAAGTGTCCGCGCTATAATTGCGCCAATAACAGGGTTATAAATCTGATTCCAGTAGCGTCAAAGCCGTTAGCGTACATTATTCGTAGATTGTATAAAACGTGTGAAGGACATGCATCGATCAAATCTTCCCCCTCCAACAGCCGCTTGAGCACTGTCATGCTTACCATAGACCAACGATCATTGTGCTCTCGCGTGGCCTTCGATTCCGTTGATAAGACCGGCCTATGGAGCTGTTTGTTGAGGAATGGAGTACCAGAAAAGTATGTGTCGATCCTCAAAGAGTTGTATCGTCCTTTTTCAACTTCGCCATAGAGGATGTTCTGCAGAACGCTTTGTCTGATTTAGCAAACGGGGAATTCGAACTCCTCCCAGGGTATAGAGTTCTTGACTTAAAGTCTGCCGGTGACCGCCTTGTTGGGTGACAATGCGCAGGTAGTCCAGCAAATTTTACACCACTTGGAGATAGAGGTATCCAGGTATGGTATGTTCTTCGCATCATCAAAGTGCTAGTTCAAGACTGGCAGGAGC